GATACTTGCTCTATCAAGTTATAAAAGTTTAGGTGATAGAGCAAGTATCTTGACACTCTTACATCCTTTAATAGCTTCAACAACTCCCACACTATTAGCTCTATCAACTTCTGGACCTGCTGTGTCACCAACACCTGGTGCATCACATAAAATAATTTCTCCAGTTTCGTAAGAACCAAAAATATCTTTCAACTGAATGGTAACAGGTGCGATGTAGCGAGTTTCTGACTTGTTTCGTGCACTAGTCGTCACATTTTTCAATCCACGATTCGTAATAGACGTAATAGACTTATCTATTGTAATGTGTTCTAGGAACTTTCCAGGCTCAACTTCTACTTTAGTCGCTTTCATTTTACAGCCTGCAAGAAACTGAATTGTAGTCGATTTTCCAGTTCCAGTTTCACCTATTAAAAGAATTACTTCTTTATCACGAATCAATTCAGCAGCATTCCTAGCTTTTTCAACGAGTTTCTGTATCTCCTGTATGTTTAAAGGTCTTATTTTCGCCAAGAGTTCTCTTAGAGAGCGCATCAACAATGGAACATCGTGGTTCTGTATATGTCTGTTTAAATCACGGAGATTCTCTTGAATTTTCTCCGAAAGCCATCCTTGTTTTTTAATCTGATCCTGCAGCTTCTCGAACAAAGGAATTACTGTACCTTGATTATTCGCAAACATGCTATCTTCAAGTAACTCAGCTTCAAAATGCAATAGAAGTTCCATGATGGTTTTTTCAGCACAAGAAGTCATAGTAGCTAAATCGTGGCGCAGTTCTTTAAGATATAATCTTTGTTTTCCTTTCTCATCGAGGGTCACATTACCGAACGGTGTTGTTGTACTTGAGGCCAAATGAGGATCCGACCAGATTCCTATTATTGGAGGTTGATTTGGTGTTGGAATTGGTGTTATTAGTTCTAAATGAGAAGAGCAAATAAAAATCATTATCAATTATAATATTCCATGACAATCATTGCAGCTACAATCTAAAACTTTACACTTTTCTACCGGTTTCTTCCTGCTATGTAACAATGCATATGTATGTATTGTAAGAAACATCAATTGGAAGTGTACAGATTATGTGTTTTGGTAACGAAAATTTAATCTTGCCTATGCGTTAAATTTAAGATACAATCAATGTTTGGTTCAGGAGTGTCCCTTCTCCATTTTACGCCGAAGATCAAGTTTACATCTGATTACTGCTATCTGAAGTAGTATTGTTCGTCTCAGAAACACGTACTGATCTTTTTCGGATAAACAATCCTACATAAAAACACGCATTACAACCTACCCTAACGTAATCTATAAATTCATGGGTCTTTCAAAATTATTAAATGTTCAATTTTTCAGTGACAACAATACGTTACTTACTCTTCAATCTATATGAAAACTAAAATAAACCGAGATTTGGCGATTTATGGATTGAATCATTCAAGAAAACGGATTATAAATGCTCTCTGAAACATAACCCTCAGGCTTAGGAAACTCATTTTCATGAATTTATGAAATGAGGATAAGTTAACATATCAATTACCCTACACAACTCCAATTTTAATTATTCTCTTAAGTTCAGCTAGTGACGTAAACAGGAAAAAGGCGGTGGAAGTGGGGAAGAGGAACGGCAATCTTCATTGCTTTGAAAACTCTATGTACAGAAACATACTGGATCTAAAACCTCACGGAATAGGGAAAGATAAAAACTTCTCCTGCAGACCCTGTTAAACTTAATTTAAGATGGATGAGAATGTGCATTGAATGGAGGGTGGGTGTAAGGAGTTAGGGTTTCCTATCAGAGAGCGAAAACTAACCGAATCGAATTTGAACCACTAAAGTCCAGTTCGAATCGAGCCGAATCGAATTTGAACCACTAAAGTCCAGTTCGAATCGAGTCGAATCGAATTCGAACCACTAAAGTCCAGTTCGAATCGAGTCGAATCGAATTCGAACCACTAAAGTCCAGTTCGATTCGCTCTCTGATCACTAGCAGCTTAGCCTTCAATGAATCTCTATGCTTTGTATATGCTACTTTTTCAGTGGTTATATTTGTTGAAACTTACCTAAATGTGTGGTATTGGGCAATGGTGTGTTATCACGAGTTGACGTGGCTAGATTGGAAGCTGATGTCGGCGTCGACGTTGATCGTAACTCTGGAACTTCCACAGAAGAACCGATCATAGGTGCAATTTCTTTCAAAAGCGCTTCATATTTGACCAGTGGGATCTTGTTTTTCACTGACTCAATACCGTTTAGCCAACCCTTTTTGGTAACATTATCGGCCGCTAAGCTATATAGATTTCTGGTATCCGGTATTTTATTTTGTTTAAATAATTCAGATAATTGCTCGTAATAATATATACGTAATGCCAGAAACAATGGTGAGTCACAATCAGCTAATTGTTCATTTAAATCATCTTCAGAAATGTATTGAGTAAAATCTTTGCATCCTTGTATTCCTTTGTTTGTTACAGAATTCCACAGATCGATAAAAATAGTTTTTGTGAAAGATTCATTATCAATACCGTGAAATAATATTTGCAAAATGACGGCTAAAATTGAAGATGATTTGGTGTATGTGCTATCATAATCAGCTGTATGTTGTAGAACAGATTCAAAATGCTCCTTATTTTCATCCTTCATCTTGACGATAAATTCCCAGATCTTTGGTTGATTCAAACAAGCTGTTTTCCATCGTTGATAGACATGTTGTTTTATTAATTCTGACAAATCAGTTCGTTGAATTAATGTTTGTACAACAGCTGATTGATCATCAATAGATTTGTTGATTTCTACTGAATAAATTTCTGGAATGAGAATACGTTCATACTTGACTAATGCTTGACGACCATTTTTCAATACATCATTAATTATTTGCTCTTTTTCTTCAGTATCTTGTAATTCTAAAATTCGACTAATTTCTTCGATTGTATTGTCATTGATCAGTGTATCTGATGCTGTAACGTTTGTGGTAGAACTCATGATTGATGAAATTATTGAAGTATTATCGACAACGTTATTTAATTTCTGAGAAGTCGTTGCTGTCGAAATAAAAATATAGAAAATGTTAGCTTTAAAAATGCAGTGATAGGTCAAGAAGAGCAATATTTTGCGTCTTATGATGCATAGAGACAATCTGGTACAGTCTGGGTGAGATCAAGTAGATTTTTGCAAGAAAAACTATTACGTGAAATCAATTTTTTCGGCCTATGATAAACTGTGTCCATTTGGGCGTGAGAATTTGTTACTTTTCTGTTATATTTGTTTGCTTGTTTACTTTCACTCTTTGGTCGTATCCTTCCACATTCTTTTCTCATAGCATCCATGTAAACATGGAATGAAAATATCCTTGTCTATATCCCGAAAAATATTTCCATGAGTATTATTTGAACACATGTTTATCTTTTTTCTAAATGTATGGATGTATTCTGCTTTTGCACCTCAGTTCATTTGTTCTACATTTTTATTTTGAAAGAAAATATTATAAACAAAAAAAAACAAACCTGACCATGTCATAAAATAAATAATTTTATCTCATTTCTTAAAAAATATGTGCTTCAATTTTTTTACTAGTAGGTCCATCGTTGTTTATGACTGCTACATGACAATGAACGCCTAATGGAACGATTCCATTTTACTTTCATTTTCTTATTAATCTAAAAAGGCTTTTCATAATGAACGCCATTATATCCATATCCAGTTTTCTCTCCAATTTGTATGTGACTACGCTGTATGCTGCTGTATTTTGTAGACGACGCATCATTTATTATGTGTGTGGCTTTCAAAATGAAATCTTTAGGTTTTTCTTAGAGATCAGAGCTATCGACAGGCCAGGCTAAAGATCAAGTGGTAGCATGCAGCCTAAGGCTGCCCTGGCTTGCAGGCAAAAAACCCAGACCAGAGATGGGCCGCTCCGACCATTTCTCGCTCCAGCTCCAGCTAATTATGAACCGCTCCGCCATAAAAAAAAGTTGTTTTTTCCAAGTTTTTTAAAGTTTGATGATGTTCCATGAATTTTACACTTTATATGAAGATTTATATAGAATAAGAGAAGGACAAACTAATTGGCAATATACTTAAGTTAGCTTGATTCTAATATAAAGATTATTTACATTCACAAAAAGACCAATGAACTATAGCAAGTACCGATTGCATTTTAGTAAAGTGTGTTTTTCAACTTTCACTTGAATGAGAAATTTTGTTCTATTCTGTCATCGCTGACTTCTCACACATTTTATTTTCTCTATTTTCTCTCTTCATCGACGTAGCGTTCTTACATTTTGAAATTAACAATGATGCAATCCAATTAGCCGTAGAATAACCGACTAAGTAAACGTTGAATCATTGTCTCAAACATTGTGACTAACGGAAGGGTAACAATGGTGTATTCAGTATAATGAATAGTCGATGACGAACTTTTCTCTTCTGATTCTTTCGTCATTGTTCATAGAGCAGTGAAACGAAAAATTGAGCTATGATTGAAGCGAAAAAGAAAAAGACGCTCCGACTTCGCTCCAGCTCCATTACATTCACAACGCGCTCCGCTCCGATCTCATAACTCTTATGAATCGCTCACTTCAGCTCCGAAGGTCTTGATTAATCGCTCAGCTCCTGGAGCGGAGCTAGCTCCGTGGACCGGGCGCTCCGGAGTCGGAGCGGCCCATCTCTGACCCAAACTGATTGATATTTTTGATTTTTCATATCCCTTAAATTGTATAACTCTGCATCAATTTATGACATCATTTTCAATTATCTATCCGAGAGTGAAAGCGAACTGAACCGAAGCCGAACCCATTCTGAAAGTAAGAATCCGAACCAAAACCGAACCGAACTTGAATCACTAAAATTCGGTTCGATTCGCTCTCTGTTATTTATTTACATGACGATGATACTGTGACAAGTTCTTATAGAAAATAAAAAATAAAAACGAAGAAGCAATTATGACACGCATTTCTTGCACAAACAAATTAACACTATGTATTACCCAGGCCATCAATTTTGGCCTGGCCTGGTAAACTAGCCGGTTATTATACGAATGGATCAGATCAGGTTAAAAGTTCAAAATCCCAGCGATTTCCCATGTTTTCTTGCCGAAATCGGCCCGTACTTCTTGACGGAATTCAGCCTAGTCTAGCGATCTGGCGGTTCTGTTACATGAATTTATCCTTAACAAGAGTTCTCTTGTCTTTCAAGATAAATTATGCTATTAGTCAATTATTTAAAAGGAAAAACCAGCTCCTGGCGAATGCTATCGGGTCTCAAGATTGTACATTCGACTGGGATCCATTAGCTTCTACACATATTCAAAGAATGAATTTAACAGGACGGGAGAAAGTAGTCTTGGATTACAGATAATGGCTGTCAGCTCAGAGTGCAAAAATAGTGCACCAGACAGGCTCTATTACAGCTCATCTGAAGAATGCATCAATCGCCAAATACAAATAGTGGAGAGAAAAAAAAACAGCTTATATTTTCAAGACTAATTTCAGATTCAAAGAGGGAAATTTTATTGAAACTGTTAAAAGTACGAGTCTGAATTCAAACAGTTTCAATAAATCGAATCTGACCCTCTAGAACTCAACAGATCGTGTTCGGGACCAAAACTTTGGATCAAGTAATCCTGATCTGGATGGACTTCGATAGATTCTGATAGGTTTCGATGGGCTACGGTCGATCCAGATAGTGGCAGATTTAGAGGGCGTGATGGAGCAATCTTTCCTAGACCCAAAATTTTTTTCAATTTTTTTTCAATAGAAGAAGACCAAAAATGGGCCGTTACTTGTTTGAACGAGGTTGAAAACATGTTTCTGATCAAAATTGCTCCCCCCCCCCCCGGCAGACTAAAAATTTTAGATTCCCAAGGGGCGCTTGCGGATCGACGCC